CCAATTCAAGGTGTTGGTGAGGACCTATAAAGCCCTAAACGGCTTGGGTCCTGGCTACCTGAAGGAGCGCTTACGTCCATATATGCCCACCCGCCCCTTGAGATCTGCGGGGGAGGCCCTTCTCCGGGAACTCTCCGTGAAAGAAATCAGGAGGGTGGTTACTCGGAGGAGGGCTTTCTCTGCGGTGGTGCCTGAGTTATGGAATGCGCTCCCCAGAGAGGTCCGCCGGGCGCCGTCGTTATTTGTTTTTCGGTGCCAGGCGAAGACCTTTTTATTCAAACATCATTTTAATTGCTAATATTATTTGCTTATTTTATTCTTTGGCCAGGGCAACTTATTTTATATTGTTAATTCGTTTTATATTTTTAGTGTATTATATTTTAATTGATGTTTTGTGAGCCACCCCGAGGCTTCGGCGAATGGGGCGGCATAGAAATTTTCTAAATAAATAAACAAACAAACAAACATCTTTCGATTTCTCCTTTGCTAGCAGCTGGTTTTTTTAGAGAAGTTGGTCAGTCCCGGCGCACGTGCAGAAGTCCTTTCGCCGGCGATTGGCCGGCGAGGGGCCGCTCGCTCCTCCTGCCTGCGCAGACTCCTCCTGGCCGGCAGGGGGCGGCAGGGTGGCGCGCCGCCCTTCCCCGGGAGGAACCCGAGGGGGCGGCCGCGTTTCCGGCCGGGCCCTTTTCGGGGAGGCCCCAAGATGGCGCCGCCCAAGGCCCCGTAGCGTGTCGGGGAGCCGGCCATGGCGGGCGCCGGCAGGACGGTGCTGGTGCGGGGCCTGCCTGCTTCGACGCGCGGCCCGGACTTGGAGCGCGAGTTCGGGCGGGCGGGGCCGGTGCGGCGGGCCGTGGCCGTCACGGAGCCCGGTGAGCGGCGGGAGGCCTCCGCGGGCGCGGGGCGGGCGGGGGCCGCGGCCGGGAGCCCTTCGGGGCCGGGCGCGCTCGGGCCTGGCCGTGGCGCCCACCCCGCTCCGCCGCGCGGCTGCTGGCTGCGCCCCGGGCGGGGACCGGCCTCCGCGCAGTCCTCCGGGCGTGCAGGGCCCACGCGGAGCGCCTGCGCGGGACGGGCGGCCCCTTCTAGCGCGGAGGAGGGCCCCCGCCTCGCCCGCCGCCGCTGCCTCCCCGCCCGAGGCAGGCGTGCTGCAGGGAGCCTTCCCGGTGCCGGCGGCGGCCCCCCGCGCACGGGCGCACAGGCTGGCGCTCCGCAGGGCGGACCCGGATGAACCCGCTCTGCCCGGTGCCCGGTTGCCCCACAGATTAGGCAGGGACCGAGCAGCTTGCCGCCCTCCCAAGCCCGTGCTGGCGTGCCTGGATAATTGATCTCGGCTGAATGTTTGAAAGTTGTGATCGAATTTTCCTCAAGCGGCGGAACACTTTCTGTGACTTAGAATATTCCACATTGTTCTAATAATCTTAACTTTGAAAGTGCTCCCAAACTATATCATTCAAGTTACAGGAAGTGGGAGGGATAGGGATGGAATGGAATCCTCCATCACGTTTGCGAAGTCTCTTCTTTAGCGATTTGTTAATCTTTGTTTCATGCCTGATAATTTGTTTCTTAGGTAGTGAGACTTGTCGTGGATTCGGTTTTGTGACTTTCTCCTTGTCAGAGGATGCTCAGAGAGCAGTCCAGGAGATCACCACTTTGGGGGACCACAAGATCAGTGTGGCACTTGCTAATCCAAAGCCAAGGCAAAAAAGGAAGAAGGACGGAGGTAGGTCTGAGAGTCTGCCTGTGTAAGAGGGGCTTGCTGTGCACTGCTGTAGGCCCCTAGAAGTAGTGTTACTGCTGAACTTGGGGGAAGTCAGGAAAACTTGCTTACATGCGAATACTTTGGTGCGATATGTGCAGCCTTGCAGTTTCTGGTGCTCTTGAAGAAGGCTTTGTGCCATGTTTTGGTTTTGCTTTGGATGCTTGTGGCCCAGAAAACGAGCTCTGATTGTCTCATAAACACTTCAGAAATATTTGGTTGGCTTTAAAAACAAAAGAGAAATGGCTGTTGTTCTTTCCACTTTCTGAGAAAAGCTCCAGAAGCCACGTGGAGGTACTTTCCAGTGGAACGTCAGAAAGAAGCTTCCAATTGGGAGGGTATTTCAGCGGTGGGGCAAACAGCAAACTGCTCCGCTGGGATTTGCTCCTGTGAGGATTTTTAAGGTATTTGTTTGGGGCAAAACATTAGAGGTAGTAAGAGAAGGCTGTACAGCCAACTAAATCTTTTTCTAGTCGTGTATTTGGATGACTGTACTTGTAAAGCAAGAAAGTGCCAGTTAAATCCCAAGTTTCAGGTTTGTTTCAGATTTGGTTGTAGGGAATCTTGTCCTGTGTCTTCAGCTCTTTTCTGGATGTTATCTCACACTTACCATTCCCCTGTTGTGCTCTTAAAGCACCGTTGCTCCTACCAAGCCCCACTTGATTGACTAGCATCCCTCTTTGTTCCAGATGCCTCTGAAGCCTCCCAACCAGTGCAGAAGCACCAGAGGACAAAAGGGGCTTCAAAGAAAGCCAGGCTGATTGTCCGCAACCTGAGTTTCAAGGTATGAGCCAAGGGCAGGGGGTCTCCTTCTCCTGGGCAGATGATGAGGCTGCTGGAACTGGGATCCTTTCATGGGGTCACTGCAGCACCTGCCTCTTTCTCATTCTCTCTCTGTCGCGTGAGATGGAACTCAGCCATTGCTGCGGAGCGGCCAGATTAATGCTCCAAATCCCTCTTTCTTGTGGTTCCTTGTGCTTGATGCGCTTGGCTCTGATGATGTGCTGTTTCTGCCCTGGTTATAAGGGGAGTTATAGCAAATTGCTCAGGTTAGATACTCAGAGCAAAGCAGTAGCACGAGCCTTTCAGGCTTCCCACTGAGGGGCACTGTGAGCCTCCAGCAACCCAGCCGACTGGCCTAAGAGGCTTGTAGGATTTGGGGCTGGGGATTATATTTAGTTATCCCATTGCTGCCGGTGATTTCTGCCACTGGCTTCATTTTGTCTATTCCTAGTGCACAGAAGAGGACCTGAAGTCAGCATTTTCTCCATTTGGCACGGTCCTGGAAGCAACTCTTCCCCGAAAACCAGGCACGCCCAGTCTTTCCCTACTGCTGTCTTAGTTGCCGCCCCCCCCCCCCGTCCCCCACGTGCACTCGTGGTGAATTTGCCTGGAGAGCAGCGAGTTCCCTCGTCTGGAGGAGAAAACCCCACGCACATCGGCACGAGTGGCTGTCTTGAGATGGGGTGCATTGAGGGTGGCAGGTCTTGCTGATGCCGTTGGCTCTCGCCTTCCTCCGCCCTCAAACGTGTGGGTAGACCAGAGGGTTTGGTGCTCCAGAGCGGTGATGGTGTGTCTTGGTCTGAGCTGTGACCACAGCGGGTGAGGTGGCGGTGGCCTGAGTGTGGCTCTCCTGCAGATGGGAAGCTGCGTGGCTTTGCCTTTGTGCAGTTCAGGAACGTCCTGGAAGCAGGGAAGGCTCTGAAAGGAGTGAACATGAAGGAGATCAAGGGTGAGTCCAGGCTGTGTGTCTTTTGAAAGACGCAGGAGGCGCCTTCTGTCCACCTCAGTGATTCCGTGGTCAGGACACCTGGCGCATGCAGGTGGGGGCCTCTTCGGAGGCGGAGCTTCCTCTGCCACCCGGGGGGCTTGCGCCGGTCAGTCACGCCAGCACAGCGGCCCTGAGGCAAGGGCGGCTCCCGCTGCTCTGTAGGAACCTGCGTGCTGAGGGCCCTGCCTCATCTGGGGCGTGCTGGTTTCGTAAAGCAGGCTTCCAAAAGTCCCTCTCAGAGGGGCCTCAAGGCACGTGAACCGAGTCAGGCGAGCGGCCGAGGCGCTTTGCGTGGTGCCTGACTCGTGACCCGCGTGTCATGGGCGCGGGGCACACGCAGCGCCCGTCTCGCAGCAGCTCCCTCGCGCCTTTCTTTCCGCAGCACGCCCGGTGGCGGTGGACTGGGCCGTGGCCCGGGACAAGTACCAAGCGATGCAGGCAGCAGCCTCTCCTGCCGGTAAGTGGTGGCGATCCCCTGCCACTGGTAGGAGGGCGGGGCAGGTGCGGCTGTTCTCTCCCCTCGCGCCAGAGCTGCCTGCCGGGAGACCTGGAAGCCACCTGCCTGCGCGGGAGGCCGGAAGCCAGAAGCCCTGTCTCCAGAGGCTGTGCAGCCGCACGCGCCGGGCGTGAGGCCGTGGTGCGGGGCGGTCACCTGCGTGTGCCACAGGAGCCTGCCCAGCTCGGGGGCGATGCAGCCCCAGCCTGGCCCCGGCACTGGGCTGGGCCTTCCCTCCGCGGGTCCCTCTTGGGCTTCCCGCAGCCGTGCTGTGTCGCTATCGGGCCTCCAGTCACACCGCCTTCCTTGGAGCCGCCGTTCCCTTGAAGGCTGGTGTTGGATGCTGCCAGAGGGCCGGGCTTCCTTCGAAATGCTGGAAAACCAGGATGGGATGGGGGCCTTTCCTGAGCGAGTCAGACTGGGCAGAGACATCCCCCTTGGGCCTCCTTGTGACATCTCCCAGGGAACCAGGAGAGGAAGCCAGGCAAGACCCCGCAGGAGGGTGCCGCTGGCAGCGATGCGGAAGACGACTCCGGAAGAGCAGTGCTGGGGCCCGCTGAGCCCACGCGGTGGGGCAGGTAAGCGGCCGGGGGCTTCTCTGGAGGGCGCCGCTCTGCATGAGAGGGCAGTGCGCCTGCGTCTGGCGAAAAGAGGGCCTGTGGCGGTGATGCCCTGAACGGGCGGCACAAGCCCCCCTCGGGGCTGGGGGAGAACCAGGTCGCGCTTGAGGCGCACTGGCGGTCGCCAGCCTGCGCCGGGTTCCTCCTTGCCTCCATCGGCGTGCGGCAAGGCTCCCGGAGCAGCAGCGTCCCAGGAAGGCTGCTCGACAGGACTGGGTGCTGCCGCCGCTGCCACCTCCTGATGGTTGTGCTGCTCGCCTGGCTGCCCTTGCAGGTACTTCGAGCAGGTCCCAGCTGGAGATAGCGAGGAAGAGGAGCCCAGCAGGGTGGAGCCCTCTGGGGAAGCAGAGGATGAGGAAGAGGAGGAGCTTGCCGAGACTGGAAGCTCTGATGAAGATGCGGGAGGCAGTGAAGAGGAGGAGGAAGATGACGAAGAGGAGGAGGAGGAAGACGATGACGAGGAGGAGGAGGAAGAAGAGGAAGAGGGCTCCAAGAGAGGAGGAGGTTGGTTGCTTTAGCGTTTCTGAGGAGCTGTGGGGGTAGTGGTGGAGGCGGTTGCACAGCTTAAAATGCCAGCATTCAGAGGACCAGAAGATACACCCTCTCATCTGGGCTGGGCCGACGGTCTGTCTAGCCAGGCTTCCTGCTTCCCAGGGTGTCCAGGCAGGTTCCCCGGCAAGCCCCCAAGCAAAGTGGCAGCTCTCCCCCTGTGGCCTGCGCTCGGAGACAAGGTGCCTCGGCGGTCCCTGGCGGTCCCTGCAGCTCCCCTTCTGGCCGCCTCGGGGAGCCTCTGCCGCCTCCATCCTGAGCCCGGCTCCGGCAGCTGGCGGGGCAGCCTGGCCAGGGCCTCCTGGGCCAGGCCGCACTGAGGCGGACGGCATCGTGCCTGCGGAAGGTGGGCCCTGCTTGCGGTGGTGTAAGACCTGCACCTCCCCTGGTTCTTCCTGCTGCAGGAGGTGAGGCCCCCTTGGAGCCGGGGAAGGACCGCAGGACGCGCCCCTCGGATGTCGCTGAAGGGAGGACGGTCTTCATCAGGTGGGCTTGGCGCTCTGGCTCCACACGGTCCCCGCGAAGCGCCCGGCAGCTGGTGCCCTGGACCGTCAGGCAGCAATCCAGCCACATGCCCTCCCCTCCCCTCCCCTCCCCTCCTCTCCACCCCACCCGATCCACGTGCTCAGCTAAGGCCTCACCTCTCAGTGGGACAGTTCTCGCAGTGGGGCTGCCCGGGGGGCATGGGTGGGCCTGCTTCGGCCCGTTCTGGCTGCAGAGCGGTTGTGCTGGTCAGACCTTGGCGGGCTGACCTCCCCCCTCCCCGTGCTGCCTTTCCTCCCCCCTCGGCTCCCCAGGAACTTGTCCTTTGATACTGAAGAGGAGGAGCTGGAGGAACTGCTGGAGCCGTTTGGGGGCCTCAAGTATGTGCGGATCGTGCTGCACCCCGACACGGAGCACTCCAAAGGTAGCTGGGCTGGCGGTTCGGTCGCTGCTGAGCCCCCCCCCCCCCCCTAGTCGAGGCAGGAGCTCAGGTCCCCGCTTTGAGGCAGGCCAGGGCAGGCAAGCCGGTGCCCCACAGATGCCCAGGAGCACACTCCCTTCTCCCTAGGCAGCAGAGCCAGTGGTCGGGGATTGCGGGCCTGGGCGCCCAACGCATCTGGGAGGCAGCCGGTCTCCTTCCGCTGCTGCAGACGCGTGGCTTGGCCACGGGTGGGTCGCGTGCTCACAGCTCCCGCCCGCAGCTGTCACGCAGGAAGAGCAGTAGTGGCCCCCTCGCAGGGTTGCTGGGAGGACCCGTCGCGGCCCCGTGTGCCGGCCTCTTCTCTCAGGAGCGCCCAGAGTGGCACCGTGCACGGGGAGTGGATGGGGAGCCGGGGGCGACGCCGGCCCTGTGCTGGCCTCCTCCCTCCTGGCGGCGTTTCTACGGCGGCCGCTAGCCAAGGCGCGGCCGGCTGCCCGAGCTCCACCGGCTTCGAGCCTGGTGCCTCCGCTGCCCCGCCAGGGCCCCCGCCGCTCGCTTTGAGGGCCCTCCGTCTTACCCCCAGGCTGCGCCTTCGCCCAGTTCCTGACCCAGGAGGGAGCCCAGAAGGCCCTGCAGGCGGCTCAGGACGAGAGCGAGGTGAGGGCTGTTGTGGGAAGATGGGGGCCTGTTGCCCCTTCTGGCGGCCGGGCCGGGCCGGGCCTGGGCTGACCTGTGCTCTCAGGCCTGCTCCTCCCTCACTGTGCTTCCTCCTCCTCCCTGGAAGGGCGGGGGACTCCATCTGGGCGGCCGCCGCCTCCGGGTGGACCTTGCCGTCAGCCGCGAGGAGGCCCAGCAGCTGCGAAGCAAGAAGGTGAAGCAGCCCACCGGCACCCGGAACCTCTACCTGGCGCGCGAAGGCTGTGAGTGGAGTGCCCGGGGCGGGGCGGGTGGGGCAGGCCGGGCCGCAAGGCCTCTGGCGAGCAGCCGGCCCAGGCAGAGCCGCCTCCCCGCAGCCTGGCACTTGGGTCAGAACCTGCCCGGGCCCCTGGCCCTTGCGGTGGCTGCCGCCCCTCTGTGGTCCCCGTGCGAGCAGCGGCACCCGCGTGGCGTTGTCAGGCAATGGGGTGCCTGCGACGGCGGTCTCGCCTGTGAGGGGGGCGACGGGGAAACCCAGTTCCTGGACACAGTCTGCTGTCTGCTGTGCTGCACCTGTTGGGTTTCCGCACTGCCTTGCTGTCAGCCGTGGCCCGGGGCACCCCGTTTGCCCTCGGTTGTGCTCGTGTTACCCGGAAGCCTCGGGGCCTGTAGCACCCCAGCCTGAGAGCGGGGAGACACCGAGCCGAATGGCATGGCCTCCCCTCGCTGGTGCTTTTCCGTGACCGCAGGGGAAGCCGTTCTCCCTGGCGGCCCTCGGCCAGCACCCCCAGAGCCTCCTGGGCGTGTTTAGGTCCCAGGGGCCTCAGTGCTCCGACTGAGGAGGGCGATCTGACAAGCACAGGGTCTATGCAGCAGAATTTTAGGAGAGTCCTGAAAATGTGCTGAGGAAAGGAGTTGCACGTTGCCTGGGCTTCCCTGCCTCCCACAGGGCCGAGCCGCTCTTGATTTGCCATTCTAAGCAGCTGGCTTTTGTTCGTGAGAGCGGCCCAGGCTTCCTGCCTCGGGCTACCAAGCGCTGATGCTTCAGCAGCTGCGTAAGGTGGCTAGTGAAGAGCGGGTTCCAGACTCCCTCTTCAGAGAGGCCTGTTCCAAACACAGAAACAGCGAGCCAGAAGGGGTCTCTGGGGCCATCTAGTCTGACCCCCGGCTCCAGCCGGCTCCACTCACGACATGCCCGCCATGTGCCTGCCCTTTGACCAGGGTCGTACCCTGTGCTGCCCCCCCCCATTTGATTCTTGCCTGTGGACCTCCGAGGCGTAGCCCCATCTCTCCCTCTGCCCTGCGTATGGGTTCCCGGGGCTCAGAATGGTTTGCTGCGCCACCGGCGACATTTCCTCCTAGCTCCCCCTCTTGCGGCCTCAAGGCTCACAAGCCTGCGCAACCCCCCCCCCCAAAAGCCTTAAGTGTAAAAGGGGAAGGAAAGGTAAGAACACCTGGCCATTTCTAACTAGGCTGTGGTTCCTGTAAATTCTAAACTTTTTCAAGCATTCGCCATCCTCTGAGCTTGCAGCGTTTTCCCGAGGCGGCTGTCAGACCATATCGCTTTCTGATTTGCCTTCCCATCCGTCATTTCTCTCTCTTTATCCAAAGTTTTCTGATCTTGGCATGTTATAAGTGAAAGCTAGGTGGTGCTCTTGTATCCCTTGATCAGTCAAGAAGACGCATCCCCCCCCCCCCCCCCGCTTTTTGATGAGCCCCTTGCAAGCAGAAGCTGCCTTTCCTTCTGGAGCTTTGTGGTGGCAGCCGGCCGGCCAGGCAGCCTTTGTCGGCTTCTGCTCCTCGGCCTTCCGTCCAGGGCAGCCGTCAGATGAGCATTAGACTAAGGCGTGGGGAGGAGGGGGAGGCCGCGTTGGCTCCCGGGGCCAGGCACCAGGTGCAGGTCTTCCTGAGGCTGTCTGCCTTTGGGCTCATCATGGGAAGGCAGTCGTGCTGGGCAAAGTCGCAAGCGGAGGAGGAGGGGGAACACCAAATACGAGACAGGCGAGCTCCACGAAGGGGGCCACAGCCTTGAATGTAGAGCAGATAAGCAGGGATGTCCCGCACAGGAAGTTTTAGAAGCACAGAGACAGAGCAAGCCAGAAGGGGCCTCCCGGGCCATCTAGTCTGACCCCCGGCTCCAGCCGGCTCTGCTCATGACATGCCCCCACTCTGAGTGGCCAGCCCCCATTTTTGGCGGACTTTCACGCGGTCGCCATCAATTGGAGACAGGAAACTCTTTAAAAGCCTGTTGTAGGACGCTAAGTCTGTTTTATCCTTGCTACCAATGCAGCTTTCATTTGTGTTTTTATGTCTGTCTAAAGTAGCAAGGTGGGATAGAATTGTCATCAGGCAGGGGGTCCATCCATTTGAGCAGCCCCCTGCCTTCAGTTGCCCCTTGTGGGCCGGGGGGGGGGGGGCACCCTGGACCGAGCCCTGCGAGGCGGCCTCAGCACCCGCCCCGGGCCCAGTCACAGAGGGCTCCACAGGGGAGTGTCAGCAGCCGGAAGCCTGCCGAGGAATTTCTGAGAGGCTCTGTTTGGCCCAGAGGCCCTGTGGGACGGGGGCCAGCTTGTGGGGGGCCCGTCGGCTTGGCCTGCCTTGCTGTCCATTGCCACCAGCCCAGTGAAGGGGGCAGTGCTCCTGGAAAGGGGGGCGGGGCGGGGCGGCTTGGGGGCTTTTGGGTTGAGGTTAGTGCGGCCCTCGCGGCCGAGCCGTGTCGCCGTGGAGCCCGCGGAGGGGGCGTTCTCACTGGGGCCGGTTGCTGCAGTGGTGCAGCTCTCCCCCCGCCCCGCAGGCCAGGGCGCTGCTGCGCATCCTTCGCCAGCCCCGGGCTGTGACAAAGGGCCCCGGGTGGGGGTGGCTTGCTGCAGCAAGGGAGCTAGCCACGGCTGCTGGTATCGGGGTGGACGCTGCGGCAGCCAGAGGCGGTGGCCCCCCCGCCGCCCCCACGGCCTGGCAAAACCACCATGCTTCCTCTCCTCTCCAGTGATCCGCGCCGGCACGAAAGCCGCCGAAGGCATGAGCGCTGCCGACCTGGCCAAGAGGGTGCGGGTGAGTCCGTGGCGCCTGGCCTGCGGGGGCGGGGGGCACGGGGCAGGCCGTCTCCAGCACAGCGTGCAGGCGCTCGCTGCCCCGGGCCGGATCGGGGCCTGGGCCCCGTGGCGGCCGGCCAGATGTGCCGGGGAGCGAGGGAGGCAATGCCCGGGGTCGAGCAGCCCCTTCCCGGCCCAGCCGGGACCGTCGGCGTGGGCCGGCAGCGCTGCGTGTCGGGTGGGCCTTGCAGGGGACGGCCCCGGGCCTGCCCCCCAGCACCAAGCCGGCCCCGGAAGCCGTGTGGCTCCTGCCGGCCGCTCAGCGGGTGCCTTTGGGAGCAGCGGCGCTACAGACGGAGCCGGGCCTCGCTTTCGAGCAGCAGCAGTGGTGCCGCCCAGACCGTCGCGCTGGGGTGGGGGCATCGTTGTGAGGGGAAGCGGCGCGCACAGGGGGAGCTCCGCGGGTGGCCCAGAGCGAGACCCCTGGCCTGACCCGGCCTCGGGCCACGACCCGCTGGCCACTTCAGCTCTGGTGTGTGCATCCTTTGGACTGCGTGGCCGTGGCCCATTTCTCCCCTCCCTCTCCCTCTCCCCCCCCCTCAGTTCGAGGAGCTGAAGCGGCAGAAGCTGAAGGACCTGAACATCTTCGTGTCTCGCACGAGGCTCTGCGTCCACAACCTGCCCAAGAGTGTGGATGATGCTCAGCTCCGGAGGCTGATGCTTCAGGCGGTCAGTGGCGTGCCGGGGGTCCGGATCCGGGAGGTGAGTTCTGGGCTGCTGCGGGACCCTGCCCGCCCACCCGCCCGCCCGCCCGCCCGGGTTGCACTTCTGCCTGGCTTGCACCGCTGTGCCTGGCCTTCAGAACCACTCCCAGGAAGAGAGCCAGGGGGTTTCTCCCCTGGGATGCTTTGCCAGCAGCCGGAAGAGTCTTGGGTCTGAGCAGTGGGGGGGGGGGCATTTCCCAGGCATGGCTGCCCCCCCGAGAGAGGCGCTGTTGAACTGGCACCGCAGTGCTGCCAGAAGGGGCGTGTGCGCCCTCTTTCTTCTTGTCGCTGGAGCGTTGTGCCCGTGGCTTCCGCCCCGTTCTTCCCAAAACAGTGGGGGACGTGTGCGCACAGCTGGGGAAGTGGGGGCAGATTGGGAGGGGGTGGTAGGCGCAGACGTGTCTCGAGAGGCGGGAGCCTGGGAGCCTGAGCGGAGTGCCAGCGTCGCCCCTTTCCCGGCCAGCTGCCGGAGTTGGCCGTCACACGCCCAGGGCTGCCCCACAGCCCAATGGCCTGGCAGCCGCCCTGCTCCCAGGCTTGGTGGCCCCGCCGGGACGCTGGGTGCTCAGCGCCAGGACCGCCCGAAGCGGGCGCCTGCTGCCGCTGCTGCCGGATCCATCAATTCCCATTCCTCAGCAAAGGAGACAGGAGACAGACAGGAGAGGGGAGGGGAGGGGAGGGGAGGGGAGGGACCAACCAGACCAGTCACAAACCATCCAATATTCCAACACACTTCGTCTGCCATCCGCTCTAACCGTCCTCCTCGCCACCCTCCAGACACAGAAGTGCCGTACTAGCAAAACCCTCCCTGTCGTTCCCACAAGAAGACCGGCCCCAGCGCCCGTCAGCGGTGCCCAAGGGCTTCGGCGTGCGGGCCTGAAAGGCGGTGGGTTGGCCTGTCGGGTCCATTGCCCGCCCCCCTTTGCCTGCTCCTCTCCTGCCCGTGTGGTCATTCTCTGCCCGGCCCGGCCGGCCCGCTCTGCTGCAGCTGGGGCAGGTGGGGCGCAGTGGAAGCGTGGGCAGCAGGGATGGCACTCCAGAAATTGGGGGGGGGGGCACGGCGGCAGCCTCCAGGCACAGGTGAGGGGGGCAGCAGGGGGCACTGGCAGCAGCAGCAGCTCTTCAGCCAGCAAGCCAAACCGCCATGGCTCTGATTTAAAACAACTGGCCTGTATCTGAAAAGAAGGAAGAGCCCCCAAGCGATGGGGTCAGGATTCAGGATTCGTCTCCCCACGGCTGCCAGGGGGCCTGGTGCACCCCGAGGGGCGCTGCAGCCCTTGCCTCGGTCGCCCCCGTGATGCCGTCCATCGCTCTGCAGAGCCGGGTGATGCGGGCCCTGAAGGCGCCGGCGGCGAAGGGCCGGGGCCAGTCGCTGGGCTACGCCTTCGTGGAGTTCCAGGAGCACGAGCACGCCCTCGCCGCGCTGCGCCACGTCAACAACAACCCCCGGCTCTTTGGGGCCCAGAAGGTAGGTCCTGGCCGGGCGCCCCCCCCCCCGGGGTCCCCGGGGGGGGGGGCTGCTGCTTGGCGGCAACGCGCCTGCCGCTCGCTTCGGAGGGCGCCGGGTCGGCTGGGCGCTCCTGCTGGAGTGGCGGATTGGGAGGCAGGGGCCCGTCCGCCTTCCCCGGGACCGGGAGGCTTCCTGGACCTGCTCCCCACGCGGCCGTCCGAGGCATCAGCTTGGCGGGGGCGGCCCCCGCACCCCCTCCCAACACTCGCGCGCTGCCGCACCCGCCCTTGCTGCTGGCGGGAGGGGAGGCCAGCCGTGCACGGGGCTCCTGGCCGGTTGTGTCTGGGGGCCTCGGGGCCCGTCGCTCAGCGAGGCTCGTCTCCGCAGCGGCCCATCGTGGAGTTCTCCCTGGAGGATCGGCGGAAGCTGAAGCTGAAGGAGCAGCGCGCCCAGCGCAGCCTGGTGAGCGGCCCCGGCGCCCTGCCCCGTGCGCGGCTGGAGTGGGCGCACCCCGGTGCTCCTGCCGTGCCCACGCAGCATCCCACCCCAGGAGTCTGACCCTTCCTCTCTCCGCTGCAGCAAAAGCTGAGGCAGAGGCAGGCTGCGGAGGGGCTGCCGAGCAAGGGGGGAGCAGCTGCCGCTGGCGGGCCCACGGTCCCCGAAAGCCCGGCCCCGCGGACCAAGAGGCAGAGGACAGCCCCAGGGACGAACGTGGGCGAGCGTCCCCCGGGGTTCGAGCCGTCACGGGGCCCCCGCAAGAAGAGGCCCAGGGATGCCCCGGAGGCCAAGCAGACCCTTTCGGACCCCCGTCCCACGGAAGGCTCCGCCCCCTGGTCCGGGTTCCAGACACGTGCGGAAATCGAGCAGGTGGAGCTGCCGAGCGGCAAGAAGCGCCGCAAGGTCCTGCCTCTGCCTTCCCACCGGGGACCCAAGATCAGGTAGGGTGAGCGGGGGGTGGGGAGGATCTTGGGCAGCAGTGGCCTCCCCTCCCCTCGCCTCGCCTCGCCTCGCAGGCCTTGTCCCCCTGTTCCTTGGCTGTGTGGCCCTGGTTGCTCCTGCCTCCTCCTCCTCCTCCTCCTCCTCCTGGCTTCCTGTGCCGGCTGCCGCTGCCCTAACTGCCGGGCTTCCGTCCTGCTCTCCTTGGGGACACGGAGGCTGCGCAGGCCCCGGCCTCTGTGGCTCCGGCCAGCCGCTGGCGTGGCAGCCCTTGTGTAGAGCAGGAAGGATGGGGCCGAGGCCGGGCGGGAGAGGGAGAGGGAGGACAGGAGGCTGGGCGGCCGCCCTCTGGCTGTGGCGAGGCGGGCGGGCGGGCGCGGAAGGGCTGCGGGCTCACTCAGCCGCGCTCATGCGCTCAACGGCGTCTCTTGCAGGAAGCGGGATAAGGGCAAAGCCAAGCCGCCCCCCCACCAAGAAGCCAGGCCCTCCGAGTAAACTGCAGAGGCAGCCGAGGCCCCCCGAGGGGCCCAAGCAGGTGAGTTGGCCAGAACAGCCCTGGGGGGCAGGCAGGAGCAGCCCCCGCCAGCCAGCCCGCTCCAGCTGTCCCCCCCCCCCCCGGCGTGCCGGGCTCGCCCCGCACAGGCAGCCCCTGCGCCGGCGTCCCGCTCTCCCACGCGGTGTGACGTGCTTGCTCCTCCCGCAGGTGCCCCGGAAGACGCGGCGGGCAGGACGCAGCCAGGCGGAGGCCCGCTTCGAGCAGCTGGTGGAGCAGTACAAGCGCCGGATCCTTGGCACGGGCGGGCGGGCCCTGCCCGCCCAGAGGAGCAAGTGGTTCGAGAGCTGAGCTGAGCTGGTGGGGCACGGCTGGGCACGCGGGCCCTTCCTCCGCCCCCGGCGCCTGGGGCCACTGCGCTTGGCGAGGCTGAGCAGCCACCTGGCGTGCTGGCCGCCTCCGTGAGCAGCTGCCCGCCCGCCCGCCCGCCTCCCCGCACGCATGTGCGCGCACGCCCCTCTGGACGGCTGCACGGCTGCTCCGGGCGCGCGGGGGAGGCAAGGCAGGCCCGAGCGCTTCACGGGTAGCGGCTTCTCCGGCCTTCTGCCCCGCGGGACGAGGCCAGAGCGCCCGGGCCTCTCATCTCGGAGCTGAGCTGGCACGCAGCCGGGGTGACCCCATGCTCCCGGGGGTGCGGGGTCCTTCCTGCCCAGCCCCTCCCGGGCCCACTGTCCTCTCACAGCAGCCACCCGCCTCTTGGAAGGGAGTCCGGAGCCTGCGCAAGCGTTGGCCTGCCCCGTGTTTTGGCCCTGCCCCCCCCCCCCGCAAGGGCACGGTGTGGGTCACACTTTTATGTGGGGTGCCTGAGAGCCTTCCCTGCCTTCCTGGTCCTCTGACTTCCTCACGGTCCCTTCCCTCTGGGGCAAGAGGTGGGGGAGGGTCTGGACATGGGGCAGCACTGTAGCTCTATGGTCTTTTTTTAATAAAAGGCTTTCTTAAAAACCCGGCATTCAGAGCTGGCTTTGCCTTGCGCCTTCTAGCCGAACTCCGGCAGACGCTCGGCGCTCTCGTGTCAGCCCCTCACGAGAGCCGCTGCAGCCGGGCTGGGGACACTGCACCCTTCGGCCCTCCAGCTGCTCTCCCATCCCCTCCCAGCCCGAAAGGGCCTTTACTGTGCCCATTTCCACGGGTTATTCTTTTTACTGATGGTGAGTATAAGCCACGGCAAACGCAGGGCGCGGAGAGGCAGAATGGGGGAACCATGGATAGATTTCTGGAGGAAGCACCGTATCCACGCTGGTTCTCCGTGGCGGCGGCTGGGCGCGGAGGTGCCACTGGCAGGCGTGCTGCCCGTCGCCAGGAGCTCGCCTGCAGGAGAGGCCCCACGGGACGGGAGGAGACGCTGCCCGCACGGCTTTGGCGGATCGTGCGTGGGTGTGTGGGAAAGAGAGATTTTGAATTTGGGATACCAAGGGGGTGGGGCAGCACCGGTGGGGCCCCACACCGAGGCCCATCTCTGCCTTGTGGCTGCAGGCCGTCCGCTGCGATGTGCCACCAGACCGCCCCTGACATCGGCGCCCTGCGGCCGAGGCCCCCCGGAACGGCCTGGTAGTGCTGGCAGCTCTGCTCGGCTCGCGCCAGCTCGGGGCCGTGGTGTCCTTGGCGGGCTCTGTCCATCCCACCTGTGGCTTCCCTTCTCCGGGAGACTCGCCCACAGCACAGCAGCGGCGAGGTCATCGGAGCTGCTTCCAGGGCAGGCTCAGGCTCGTCTCGGGCTCTCGCAGAGCTCTCCTCCAGCAGCGCCCTCTTTCCCCGCCCCCTTTTGCAGCCACCCGGGGTGATCGGGACTGTGGTCGTGTGGATGGCCCCCCGGAACATCCTTGTGCTGGGTCATCTTTTCTGGCTCCTTCCTGGCTGCCTTTCCAAGTCCGGGCTTCTCGGTTCTTGGCCACTGCCTGTTGCACTTTGAGTGAGCCAAGATACGCAAATCTTTCGCAATTCCAGTTCCTTCCTTGCTGTCGTTGAAGTTGTGTAATTCTTTTAGTCGTGCTTTCTGTTTCCTTCATGCTCAGCTCTCGCGCTTTCTCCTTTCGCTTTCCTGAGGAGTCATTTCGGTTAATTGCCGCTCTCTGCTAGCAATGTGTGATCATCTGCTTATCTTCAGTTAGCGATGCATCTTCAGCCAATTTTCTGTCATCCCTCTTCTGCTTCTAAAAACCCTGTGATATGAGATACCTGATATGATAATCATAGGATGTGTGAGATGATGTGGACTCCGCTCCCCTTCTGTGAGTGTGGAGCTAGCCAAGCCCCCCCCCCCCATCTGCAGAGACTTCCCTCCAGCGACGACCACCCTCTCCATCCAGCCGAGCTTCCAGCCAGGCCCTGTGCTCTTGCGCTGGGGGGGGGTATTCAGTAAGATGCACCCCATCGAGCGCCCTTCTCGGACCCCTCCGCAGTCTGCAGCCCAAAAGACGAGAGTTGCTTTTCTCTGATTTTACATCAGACACTGATGTCCTGAGTGTGACGTTACAGATAGTGCTCTTGGGGATTCCTTGTTACATGTCTGGATAGCTCCATTTCCAGAGGAAAAATAGGGAGCCTGGAGAATGGGCAACGCAGCAGCAGTTTTTAAAAAGAGAGCAAGGAGAGCGAGAGAAGGAATTGCGGGCCAGTTAGCCAAACACCTGCTCTGGGTAAAATAGATTGAAAGTGTTCCACATGGTAGAATTTCATTTAAACATGCAGAAGGACAAGCTCTGCTGGAAAGGAATCAACATGGATTCCAGAAACGTGTCTCTCTCAGAGTAAACGTGTGATGCCTATTTGGACGTCCAAAAACTTTTGACAGTTGCTCAGCAAACATTCCTGAGCAGTCTTGGCCATCTTGCTCGTCCTCTTGTGGATCAGTAACTGATTAAAGAACAGAAAGCAGGTATCCGGAACGCGCGGGGCTTGCGGACGGCCGGGTCCCATGGGGAGGGGGCTCCAGCCAGGGCTCTGCAACTTGCTCGTGAACGGTTTGGCACTGGGCGGGAGGGAGGCCGAAGTGGCTGAGCTGCTGGTGGCACCAGGCTGGAGGCGCCACGGGGTCCCTGAGGTGCTGTGCTGGGGCAGACCAGCCTCTCCCAGCGCCGCGGCCACTCGCGCACTGGCGCCCACGGACACGGTGGGGGTACGAAGCCCCCTTCCAGCAGGGGGCGCCCGCTTGGGGAGCTTCCCCATCCGGCTTGGCCAGAGGCGCGCCCGAGCCAGCAGCCTGGCCGCTGTGTCTGCGCAAAGCAATTGCCAAATCGGTGCAGAGGCAGAAGCTTATGGCAGAAATAATCTTTAATTCTGGCAATTTATTGATGTAAGAACCCCATTTACCACTTCTTTCAAAAAGGTCCGTTATTAAAATCCCCCCTCCCCACTCCCATGGACTCCTCCGCATCCGAGTCAGACAGGAGAGCTGCACCTGGAGGCCCAGACCCTTTGAACTGTCGGCCGCCGGGTGGGCAGATGGGATGAACCAAGCAAAGTCAACTCGCCCCAAGCCTCCGAAGTCGAGAAACATTTGCTCAGGAGGTGATGGTGCTGGGCGATGGGGCCGCTTGTCGCATCCCTGCGTCGTCCCCTTCACAGCCACGTGCCCTTAAAGCTGCTCCCACCCAGGGCTCCTTCTCGCTCCGTGACTCCTCACTTCCAAGAAGGCCAGCTGGGGACGGAGGCCGAGTCCGGAGCCAGAGGCTGGCGGCACTTCCGGGAGTGGGAACCCAGGCGAGCAGGGGAGACATTCCTGCTCCACCTGGCCAGCCTCCCTGCTTGCCCGAGAAGGCTTGCGGGCGACCTCGGGAGCACTCGACGGTCCACCTGCCAAACCGCACTGCGTAGGCACGGCCCGCGAGGGGAACAGAGGCCCCAGTCGGGGCTGTGACTGGTAGGGCTGGCTTCGCGAGGGGATGACTTGGTTGCCTCTTACGCACAAGGGTTTCCCAAGGGCCCAACTCCACCGCCGAGTTTCTGGGAAACGGCGGGGGGGGGGGGGGCAAAGAGGTCTGGGTTCTCCTCCCGGAGACGCGCATTTGGTCCCTCTCCCAGCCAGCCCTCCATCAGAGCAGGGCATCTGGGGTGGCAACGGGGCTGATGCGAGACCGACCCAGACCCGGGGAAAGGAAAACTGGCAGCGGCAGCAGCCGTGGCTCATTTGCCGTTACCACTCCGAGGGCGAAGGCAGCAAGTGAAGCGCAGGCAAGCCGAGCGGTTTGGGCCCCGGGGTATTGGATCACGTTTCCGGGCTGTCCCCACCCGCCGCCCCACATGCTTTTCCATGCCTCCCTCCCTGCTGGCTGCTCCCCATGACCGCAAACTTTGCCAGTAAAATGTGTGGGTCAAATGTTGAAGTCGAGAATTAATCTGCTGAGAATCAAAAAGTGAATGGATATAAAATTAATCAAAGTGCGACTCATCAGTGCTTCAGAGGCTGGCAGCTGCCACACAATTAAACCCTATGCAACTGTTTAGAAAGACCAGTGTTCACCATCAGAACTTCGAAGGGGGGCTTGTGAGTTGCAAATTGATTCCAGCTCCCCCCACACACACACTGCCCTCTTGTTTTCTTGCCCGTTTTGCGCGTTGCTCCGCAGCCCATGGCCTGGCTTGCTGGCTGGCGGCATCCAACCGGGAGAGCGCGTTCCAGGCCCTTCCCGGGCCAGGCCTGGCCCTGCTTGTGTGCTGCAGGCCGAGCGGGGACGGGGCACCAGCCGCCCCCTTCATCATCTCGGATGGGCAGATCTGTGGCCCTGCAACAAGCCTCCTGAGTCGCCTGGCCTTCTTTTGGAGCGCTTTGAAGCGTTTTGCCCAGCCCTTTGACGATCTGGCCCTCCCCCGGGCCCCCGCACAGGGAGGGAGAGGCGGCTGCCAGAGCTGCCCGTGTGTGCGTGCATGCGCAGGCGCGTGGAAGGAGAGTGACGCCTTTGGTTCTACCCACAGGGCTCCCAACGGATTCCCTCTGAGGGCTGCAGCCTCGACGGGGAGAAGACTGTCCAAGCTCGCCAGAGGGGCCCCTGAGCTCGGCCCTCCGCACGTCCCGCCCGGGCTGCAGGCCCAGGCCTGGGGCGGGCGCGAGTGCGAGTGCTGCTCGGGGTGCCCACCGGGAATCGCGCCGATGCCACACCTACGCAACCCGGTTGCAGCACCCTGGCCGGCTGCCACGTGCCGACTCGCCGGCTGCGGTGCTGCCCGTCGCAGCTGGTGTGCACCGCCTCGTTTCCCTGGCACTGCCTCCTCGCAAGCTGCCGGGCAGGGAGGCTTCCAGGGCTTGCCCGCGTGGGGGATCCCGGGCAGCAGCTGGCAAGGCAGGCTGGGCAGGAACCAGCGGCAACCCTCTCTCCCCGAGCAGAGTGCCGCAGCGCTTCTAGCCTGCGCCCCACGCAAGCTGCTAGCGGGCCGGCACGAGGGGGCCGCTGGGGAGGGCTGCTGCCGGAGGTGCGGGGTGCCGGGGCTCTGCCCCCAGGGCCGGCGTGCCCCGCAGGAGTGGGCCTGGCTGGGCAGCGGCAGGAAGGGCGCCTTGCCTAGGAAAGGGCACCAGGCGATGCGGGTCCTGCGAGGAGACGGTTGCTGCGGCACGGGCGGCTCTCCCCACCCGGCGCCTTTGGGCAGAGGTCCCCCGGCTCGGCCTTGGGAGGGTCTGCAGGCGATGGGAAGCCGGTTGCGGCCCACTGCCCTCCCCTCCTCTCAGCCGAGGTGCGAGGCTGTCAGGCTGACAGGGTGGCCTTCGAAAGCCAGTGGAAATCAGAGAGGCCCTGCACCTTTGGGGCGGCCAGGGTAAGGGCCTGGGAGCATCACAGGTGAGGAGCCTCAGCACGGACCTGGCCCACAGGTGGGCTGCAGGCTGGCTGCTTGCACCCCCCCGCCCCCGTGGCCCATCTTCTGGGGGTCCTGTCAGAATCCCGAAATCTCAATTTGTGAGAGGAAATAAAACTTGGGGTCGTGGGAAAGATCAATTGTTATGAACCTCAGTGTCTTTAT